TTCAGTATAAAAATGTGAGGCATAATTATTTTAACTAACTTTTTAAAATACACACTATTTCTTATAAATGCACTGTACAGCTTTTTCTAACTGAAATATATTTATAGCTTAGTAACTACAATCTTTCCTTCCAAACTTTCCAAACCCTTTGAAAATGTTTAACTGAAGCAAGTTCGTAGAGCAAACACATCGTTTTACTTTTAATGTGATCTGCAAGCTTTAATGAAGAATGTAAGTCATATGTCATAACCGTTTTTTTATAAAGCATGGATTTCATTTTGTTCTTAGCATGCCACCATCAGGCAACAACCCTGACTGGCAAATGTTCAATGTCCATTTTCCATTTCTGAACTCAGGTTAAAGAATTTACTTTAAATCCTAAATCACTAAATTACTTAATAGCGTACTAAGCTTCAAACAAAAAGAGACAAGTTTTGATTCATACCAAAATTCATTTCAGAATGAATCACAAAATCTTCACCCCCCACTAGGTCTGGTAAAGTTAAGTTGTTTGAAATCTTAAAGATGAGGAATCAAGTTGACATGGTAGGCTACCATAAATTTTACCTATTAACTAATTTTATTATCACTTACCTGTATTCCTATTAGTAAATAAATAATGGCACAATATAACTCTAAATACATAGTAAAAAAAAACCATTTTGAGGTCTATAACCAGAGGAAGATGTCTGTGCCGAAGTTGCACCAGAACAAAGGGAGAAACTGGTGAAGGAGAAAGAAATTCCATCAAAAGGATGAATTCTTTAATCTTTTGACATGTAGTCCTATTTCTACTCCACTCATACATAATAAAAACTTCCTGCAAAGTAGCAAAAATAATTCAGGGCTATTTAAATCTACTTTCTTGCATCTCTGTTTACTGCTTCTTGTCAGGTAGCCCCTTCACTATTCCATCAGTCTTGGAAGTAAGTCATTGTACTATCTACTATTTGGGGCGAAGAAAGATTGATTTTCTTTCATTTGTATGCCAACACATACATCTGAACATTCCAAAGTACATGGCTGAACTTTGCATTCTAATAGCCATGCAATTTCTGGTACTAATTTTATTCATGAAATCATATAAATATATAAGATTCATGATTGAATCATGGTATAATTATTATCATCTGACTTACATGGAGGCCTACACACAAATATTTCAAAAATTAACATTTTTTTCAAAGCTAACATAGTGAAAAGTAGAAAAATCAGGATGAATAAGAAGATACTGCCGTCTTGAAAACTCTTGAAATAATATTCCATCCTACTATATTATAGTATGGTGTTGAGATGTAAATGCATCATGGCATTGTAGTATGATTAAGATCGAACATTGCAAATAGTTCACATTTCAACTTTTTTAAAAAGTCTCTTAAAATCAGCAACATTTGCCATGTAAGATTTATATACAAAACAATATGCTCCTTGTTCCTCTGATTTCCAACTCTATCAAGAGCGAACATTGTCAAGTCAAGGCCTACTTTTTGCCACAAATATATTAACAAATGTGCAACACTGTTGTATATAGAAGAGGCCATCATTTGTTTTACAAGAAAACTAGTCATCAATAAATAAATAAAATCCTATTCAAAAATCAGTTATCCTGAGCCTTTTGTAGAGAAGCCTCTACACCTTTCAGACAACTTGTATTAATGAGCAGTCGTGACTATAGAATCTCCATCAGTTTTTCTGACAAAGCTGCAACTAGTCCAGTTTCTCATTGTAATTCCATTAATCTGGTGCAGCCAGGTCCAGTGTGAAAATCAAACCTCCATCTCAGTCTTTATCAGTTTATAATAACCTACAAGTGAACTCTGCTTGTTAGTATATAGCAAGTTATGATTTTCCTATCAATCAAACCATTAGCCAATAAAAGAAGAGCCAGGCAGGAACTGTATTCTGGCCAAGAATTGAACATCTTGTTTTATTTTGTGGCTTCTTCACAACTGTTTTTCTCACCTTCGCAGCTTCTTTCTATTTTCAGTTCTGTACCACGACTGGGCCTCTGTATTATTTTTCCTGCTAGAAATTTAATTGCTGCTGACAACTGAGTCTGAGCATTATTGAGGTGTGCTTGAATTTCATTAGAAGATATAACTTATGCATCTTTTCTACAGTACCTAATAAATCATAAAGAAACCAAAACACGTTTGGCTTGAGGGGAATAACAGGAAAATTAGGTAGCCATTGGGGAATTGAATGGACTTTTGAACTAGGGAGGGAAGGGGGCAAATAAATAATTTGTTAAAAGACAAGGAATGAGAGCCAGTCGCAGACTTTAAAATGTATATAAAGATGTATATGTCAAAAACCTACTTTTTCAGAACTGGCATTAATATTATTCTAAAAAGCACATCCATTGTTCAACTTTATATTCCCAAAAAATTTGGAATTTTAACTCATGCCCTCTGGGGGAACCACAATAAAAAAGACACATCAGTTACCAGTTTGATAGAAAAGAAATTTGAGAGCCTGCCCCATTTAATTTCACTGATGGTCAAAATGATCTTTCAATGTAATACTATCTGATGATTGTTGTAAGCTGGGTTTTTATACCTTTTAATGTTTTAATAATATTAATAATTATTATTTGTAAATTTTTTAAAGTTTGTTGACCACCTATCAAAGTAACTTATTTTGTTAAATGGCCTACATTATAAATTTGAAATATCTATCTATCTATCTATCTATCTATCTATCTATCTATCTATCTATCTATCTATCTATATACAGAGCTCTACAGTTATAAACAAAGATGTTTGTTTATACAATCTTTATATCTTGTGAAAAAATGGTTAATTTAAAAATTAACAATTAACTAAAATATATTTATTTATGACGGTCTTAAAAATACTGCTGAAAGATTTCTCTAAAGATAAGAGATATTTTAATCAAGGATGCCACTGACTGCTTATAATTTCTAAGCTTCTATTTAAAACAACAGTGTCCATCACTTTTATCTGGCTACACAGATCACTAATCTATGTTTCCACATAACTTATAAATGTAATACTTGGAACTCTAAATTTTAAGTATTTGGTACATGAGAAAGTATATGCTTTCATAAAGGATCTGCCAAGGTTCCACTAATATATTCAAAAGAGGGTTTACATGGTTAAAATGTGAATTTCCTCAAGGTATTTAATTGAGGGAAAAGGAGAACTGCATTAAAGAATTAATCTTAAACCCACATATCCATTGTGTTCAAGGGGATTTATTTCTGAACAGTCCTTGCTATAAATAGAATTCATTTGTCTACTAAGAGACACCTTAGTGATTTATTGGACAGACATCAGTAAAAACTTATATAAAGATTAAATATCAATATTTATGAGGTATGGGAGAAAAATAAATAGCCTAAATATTATACTCTTCGGGGAAATTCCATTAACTTTATAGGATCTGTGCAGGAAGTATACATATAATTTTGCTAATGCTTGCCTGGGGCCTACATTGTATGAGATGCTTGGCAAAAATTATTTTACTTTTCCAAATTAATTATGGATAACTTTATCTTTCTGTTCAACATTTATTTCCATTTCTACTTAATAGTTTAAGATTGTTGTCTTGTTCAATAGGCATTTTGTTAATATAAGTAATCTTGATTTTTTTACAAAATGAAAGACCTTGTAAAATATTCAAATTATTATAATTAACATAGCTTAATAATAGTATTTAGAAGCTTCTTAAAATTAATAGTTAATGCATTTGTATTGGTAATGCTTAAGTCTTAGGCTTCAACAATTGTTCAGCAATTGATTTTTTACTTTCATAAACAAAAGCAGTTGTCAATTTTTTTGTCTCAAACAAACAAGAAAAAATCATTTCTCATGCTTGCTTCTTTGTATATGTATTCAATGTGTTGAATGTGTCCACTGCCATAAAACATGGGAATGGAACACAAGCACCAGATTTGTCAGATAAAGACAAAGGTTTATACTCTATTTAATGTCTTCTGGGAAAAATAAGTCTAACTCTACCTAATCTATTATACCAATAAATACATTTATTTAAAAAAAAAACAACCTTAAAAGGCTATTTTATTCCTGATATTTAACTGGCTCTTAGAATATAAAAAGGTGGATTTAAACAGGAAAACTTTTATTGTTAACATTATACAATCTACCGAATTTGAAGAATGTAAATATCCTGCTTGCTTGGCTATTGGAAGGTTTATCACTCTGAGTTATCCCTATGCTGCAATAAGCATAATTTTCTATCTCACAAATACAATATATGATTCCAAAGGGAATAATCTGATTAATGTAAAATGTAGCATATCATGCTGTAAAATGCATATTTTTATTCAATAATTGAAACAGAGTTACACATTTTGATCAGTTTAAATGGCAAACCACAACTTCCCCCGACAGCTCTCATTTGCCAGTCTAAATTTTTGAGCAAATTCATATAAATTGATAATTATATGTATGTGTGGTTTATCATTGTTCAATTCTCATTTGTAACAGATAGTAAGCCATGGTTCTCTGTATCATTTTTCCCTTAAAATAAAACTATAACCGATTATGTTTTTTATTTTAAAAACAGTGTGAAAAGTGTTTAGATTTAAAAAAAGTAATTGTTCAATAAGTACACACTAACTTATTAATTGGAAACACACTTTAAGAACAAATTATTTAATCTTTTAAGGACTTAACCCAGTTTATATTTGCAAGAAGAAGAAAGTTATTTCAGTCACTGATTTCTCTGCTTAGGAAGAACATCTAAGGAACATGTTTTAATTATAAAACAGAACAAGCAAGCATATCATTTCAAATATTATTATTTCACCATGCTTTTTCTGCCACTAGAGAGTGCTCTTCAGTTCCTTAACAAGCTTGAAAATGTAAGAAACTTTTCAGGGCCTTAAGCTTTCTTAGAATTTACTGTTCTCAAATTATCCTGGTCTCAAATCTTCTTATGCAGTTCATTAGAAACCAACCAAACTATCAACAATATTACAATTATTCAGGATAAGCTCTTGAAAAATCACTCACCATCAGAAGGGCCTTCATCCTCTTTATCGTAATGGTCAGATGCTAGAGAGAGACTGTCAGGAGCAGCAGGTGTTTCATTCTCTTCCCCATCTTCATGATCTCCTGCACATATGAAACATGATCAGTGATTAAAAGCAGAGACTTTCAGTTTTATATTATGCAGACAGCAAAATTTTCCTAGTTGGTTATTTTGGGATGGCAATCTCCAGTGGCTGAGAATTCATGTCATCCTACCAAAACATGGAAAGCGACAAGTTTTGAAGTAGGAGAATTTCAAAATCAGTAGTGAATTTCAGAAGCATACATCATGAACTCACAACATTGGACAGAGCTTTCCCTTCTAACCAGCTCACAGCAAAAGTTCCAAAATTTAACTTTTATAATTTCCAATGCCTTCAGTGAGGTGAAAGAAAAATATTTCTATTTTAAAATCTTTCTAATTCAAAAGGGAAGTGGAAAAATAAAAAGGATACATTCACTAGATGGTTGAATTGTCACAATTAGATGGATCTGTATCCACAATAAATTCCATTCTGATCCACTTGAGTATAATTGGCAGAGTGGGCGCTTGGCAAACACAGAAATACAGAGACCAAAAACCTGACTACTCGCCCCTTCAGTTATTTCTAACACTCATAGGCCTATTTTGCAATTATAACTCCTCGACAATCTGATTTTCACAGCCGAACTAAGCCACTTGACTGAATTCACCGAGGTACAGGATTGAATTAAAATATTTAACCAACTGTAAATAATGGGCTTGGGGCAACTAATCCATTCAACTAATATTGTATAGAACAAGTCTTTAAAATAGCAATTGTATCCTTCTATCAGCAAGTTCTAAAATATACTTTTTACATGACCAAACGGCATCAAATTGAAAATAGTAAGTGCAAGAAAATGTCTATTATGAATTTAAAAGGAGAGGGGAAATTAAAAATATTTTATTAGCCTGAGAAGTAGATACTTTCCAATACGTGCTTTCAGAATTCCCTCCCCCACACAGCACAATGGGCGCACCACATGAGCATACCACTTATAATTTTGCTAGTGTAATCATAGTGTAATCATAAAGCATTTATGTGTGTGTGATATAATGCTTTGTCGGCTTACAACAATGCAATCTACATCTATTGTAATGCCACTCAGTTCAGTTCTCAGCATTTTTGCCACAACCACAATTTAGTCATATGAATAGCTTCCAAAAGCCATAGATCTTGGCCTACTTATATACCTGAATTTGCATCTATACCCATTTGTATGTTATAGTCTTATTATCCAAACCAAGAGATTACACAAGGAAATGTAATAACCACTGATCTCTGATAAGTGATTAAATTCCGTGATACCTCTTCTCTCCAAAACATTTGCTTTCTTAAACACTCTGCAAGAAGAACATGATACAAATAATAAAATGTACTGCAGTTTCTTTCATCAATCACAACCAAAGTTATGTTAAATAAAAAATGAACTAGGCAGCCTGTTAACAATATACCACAAATTTAAAAAAGAGAGATACGGGTAGTTGTTGCATTATGGGAATCAGAAACAAGATAGTTAAGTGAATTATGCTCTAAAACCTTTTTTGCCATAGTTGTTAAGTGAATAACTGCAGTTGTTGAATGAATGATGCAGTCATTAGCAAATCTAATTTCCATCACTGACTTCATTTGTTTGCTGGAAGCTGGCTGGGAAGGTTACAAGTGGTGATCACATGATCCAGAATGCTGCAATCATTGTAGATAAATGCTATTTGCTAAGCTTCTGAGTTTTCATCACATGACCACAAGGATGATACAATGGTCATAAGTTTGAGGACTGCACTTTTTTCAGTGCAGTTGTAACTTCAAATAGTCACTAAACAGATGGTTGATAAGACAAGAACTACCTATAGTCCTTTCTTCACAATTTTTTCTTCAAAAAGTGTTGGTCCTGTGTATGTAATTTCACAGGATTCAGATAATAATACTATTCAATTTCTATAGCAGTGTGGATCTTGCATACTGGATCTTTCAGTCTTATGATCCAAAAGTTTCTTTTTCATCTAAAATGGTTTCATCTATTTGAATCAGACTGCAAAATCCAATGTTTTGTGTTATGTCTTTAATGTTAATATCTTTACCATAAACTTACTAGGTTTTTCTACCCTTTTTCCTTCAAATTTTGCAGGAATATTGATGAAGACAATATTTTAAATGTTTACAACATCCTTGTGTGTTTTAAAAAGTCTCATTAATCTAAAATCTTTCTATTGTTTCAAGTACTTCAAAGAAGGAACAGGATTGGTGCTTATGCATGTTGATACTCCATAAATCAAAATTGTTACTCCAATCGTCGTTCTGGAGAAGTGGAAGTTCATTTAATACAGCTATGCTACAACTTGTAGACTGCATAACTGCAGCCATGACACGTCATCACAGGAGCCCCTCAGATTTGGAAATGCTGCATGCATTACAATAAATAACATGGTTTATGTCCAATCTGAAGCACTTATAGAAATGCCTACTCTTGTACAGTCTCCCCTGCACAATTAGGTCATTAATAGGTACTTGTATTTAGGTACTCAGATTTGTTTGACAACAATGAATTCAGTAGTTTCCACAGTGGGGCCCAACTAGTGGAATAAATTATCAAATTATATAAATTTATATAAATTATAAATTTATAATTTATAAATTATATAAATTATCTGGGAGGAGAATTCCATTCCTACCTATTTTTATAGGAATGTTAATGTTTTCTTATCAATGTTATACATTCATTTGTTGTATCATTTAACTACTGTTTTAATTGATTTTTAATACAATCCAAAGTTGTTACTGGAACAAGCAGTATATACATTCTTAAAACAAAATTTATTACAGAAACTCACATGCAAATGAAAAGCATGCAAATGTAAAGGCAATAGCTCATTAACACCATTGCAAGTGGCAATTTTCATAAAGTAAATCTCTCATAATCTCAACTCTAGCTTTAACTCAAATTGCATTCTAGTATTCTCTGATTTAATACAACCCATTTAGACTGAGCTTCCACTTTCAGAATTAATAGTTTACTTTAATATTTTGGGATAGGAATTCTGGGATCTTCGCACCTGGTAAATATTAGACATTAGTCAGCAAAGACTATTTCAACTTCATACTTAGTCCTACTCACAAATTCTTCCCTATGGCTGTCTTCATGAATTACTTCCAATCTTCAGATTAGCAACAAAAAAAAAAAAAAACCCATACTTTGCAATTTATGCTACCTTAATAACCAAACTCTAACTAGCTTAATACCGTGGCTTGTAAGAAGTCTTGTGCTTAGAGCTTTACTGCAGGACAATTTAAGGGAAGAATTTATGCTTTTCCTAACTTTAGCTTCTCTCCCATCCACACAGTAGAAAAATCCAAATGGCTCTCTTTAAAATATGATGGGACAGGCTTGAGCTAATGAAAGAATGGTAGAGCTGGGTCAAAGAAGAGCTTTGCTAACAGGGAGGAGGAGGGGGTGGTGGGGGAAATCCTGTAATGCAGTGATCCCCAACCTTTCTTATGCCGCGGCCCGGTATCCCCAACCTTTTTTATGGCGCGGCCCGGTACCGGCATTAGCTGGGCGCCGCCATCTTTTTTTGATGAAAAAGTGCTTCCGGTGACCTCACCGGAAGCACTTTTTCATCAAAAAAAGATGGCGGCGCCAGCGCTTCCAGTGAGCTTTTCCGGGTAGAAATGGCTTTCTACCCGGAAAAGCTCACCGGAAGCGCTGGCGCCATCTTTTTCTGATACTTTTTCTCTTACTTTTCAAATACTATGTTGCTATTGTTTAAATTTGTTTATTTCATTTATCCAGAGCCTTGTATGACTTTAAAAATATTGTCTTTCTTAAAGTAAAGATGGTATACATTGTCTCATGCTTCACCTCTTTTGCCTGCAGGTATACTGTGGAACTCACTACCTCCAGACAGTTAAACAATTCAGTGCTTATCTTTCTTTGGAAAACATCGCGCAAGATTTCCCAGGCTTTGCTAAAGTTTTAACTTAATAATTCTTATTTCCTTATGCCTTATTTCATCTTTGTTTCTTTTTTGAAATATGCAATATTTTATTGTCAGCTTGAGGGCACAGTTGTGTCACAGTTAATTATATTCCTACCTTTTTAAAAGCATTTTAAAGATTGTATTCTTACCTTACTTAAAGATCTTAAACATTATCTGCTATTGCAGTTCAATATTATTTAGAAAGAGCTTTTTAGGAAATAATTTCTAACACGATCAGCAGGAGAACTTCAACAGTGTGAACTCCGTATCTTTGTAACCAATCACATTTTTTCCTGTCATCTGCATCCTTTGCATATTTTATGACATTTCATAAATTGTAAAAATTTTTACAGAGATATGGCTAGCAGACTTTCTGCCAGTTATTCTTAGTGCTTTTTGTCATCAGTACAAAGGGGCCTGACCCTTGCTTTGGGGACCCTTGGCAACAAGTCATTCAAGACTATTTCTGCACTACAGTCACAAAAATTTACCAATCTGGGACAACATTCCAAGAAACACCTATAGCTCTAGAGACAATAATGAAAAGCTGCGTATGGTCCACCTGTTTAACTTTTTGCCATACCGCTAGACAGTACTCATTTGGAAGCAATGCAGTAAATGTAAAAAGTGACTAGATCTGGCCACCTGGTGCTGCTTGGAGTTCTCAGCCAAAAAAATTAATTAAACAAATCTCAGGGCAGGTGGCAGGGATTGGTCCTACTAAAATGTCAGAGACCTGGCATTTGCTCAAAGATATAACTTTCCAATTTTGGCAAGGGTGTATTAAAAAAATCCCCTTCAGGCAGATTAAATACTTGCATCATTCTGCTTTGTAAGCAGTTACAAATATGCTGTTTTATAATGCGGGATGCTTATCTGCCACACATCTATAAGCAAATAGTGCAGTCATTGCATGTGAGTTCACTTACAGCATTCAGCTTTTGTTAAAACTACAAGTTTGAAACTTGTAAAACCATAAATGCTTAGAAATATGTGGCAAGGTTCTAGTTATTTATATTTACAATGGTCAAAGATCAGTTTTCATTTCATATGCAGCTCCCCAACAATATCCTTAACTAACAGG